GTCCTTCCAATATAAACAGTCTGGGTATGTATGGAGCTTCACTGATAGATTTCAAGTTGGGACGATGCATGAGGTGACCTCCTTTCCAGGGTGGTGATTCTCTTTCTGATTGTTTCCCCAAGGTAGAGTCAAGCTTAGGAAAATCCACTAGTCAAGCTAGGATTCTCCAGCTGCCTGTGCTTAGCTAACCTTAATGCTTATATAACAGTAATCACCAGCACTGCATGTGAATAATGTCTAACGTGTGACTCTATCATCAAGTAAGCTGTGACATCTGGACTTCCTTGGTGGCTCAGACGGTAAAGAATCTGTCTGCAATGCAGGAGACACAGGTTTGATCCCTGGGTTGGGAAGATCCCCGAAAGGAGGGCATAGCAACCCACTTCAGCATTCTTGCCTGGAGAATCCCATTGACAGAGGAGCCTGACAGGCTACAGTGCATGGGGTTGCAGAGTCAGAGACCATTGAAGTAACTTAGCACGCACGTACACACAGACGCGCATACACACACGCACGCACACACACATGCACAGGTCAGCAGGAGCTCTGCACACAGTCATGAACCCAAACACCTTTAACTCTGCTATCTTAATTTATAACATCCAGAATCACTGATGCAGAAAAAAAGAGAGTGGAGAACTCACACCACTACTAAATGCCTTGGGCTGGAAATGCTACACAACACTTCCAGGGCTGGTCCATTGGTCAGAATTAGTCACACAAACCTTCCTAAATGAAAGGCAAAAATCTTTCCACACACCCAGGAAGAAGAGCAGAGCAGTGGATCAGGTGAGCAATACTCACTTCTATCACAGATTCAAAGAAAGACATTTCACAGCAAATTTGAACAGGAAATATAAAAGATGCTAAAACTGGCTCATAATATACTTCAGATAACACATATATTTGATTTCTACAGTGAAACATACATTTCCATAGCTCCATTTCAGCCCCTAATATGATCCTGACTATGTGCTCTAAGGCATTTTTCCTGTACATGCTCATGATCTTTGCCTAAAAAGCTTTGCAAAATAGGATCATGAAATTTCCACAAGCACAGTAGTTCCTCTTTCACTCAGGACCCAGGTGGTAAACTTTAGGCCAGTCATGCAGTCAAATGCCTGTGGTTTGTGGACAGCCCTCAAGCACAGCTGCAATGCTCGGTGCTGGGAAATTGCAGGTCCACTGGGACAGCTGCAAGCTCTTTCAGAGCTTCCATTTTAAGCCATCAGTTGGCCACTTCCCTGGAGAAGCCATGTATGTTGCGGAGTCGTTCACTCCCTTTACCATGGTGAGGCAGTTTTGGAGAGAAAATTGCTATGTATTGGCTGAATTTTTCAGATACCGGGCTGTATTACTACTGTCATTTTGTGTGGAACCCTTGAGGATCTTCAGACACATTTTTAACAATTAAAATAGTGAGAGGAGTCCTCAAATCATAGCTTCTGCCCAAATCCAAATCCGCTTAGGATGGCTTTGTGCAGATCAGTCCTACAAACATCAAAGACTCAAAAGAGACAAGAAGTCATCGTAGACATTTTTTAAAAACAAACAAGAAATAGTGGCCAGAGAGCCAAAGGCCAAAACCAACAAATATTTGGAGAATAGGCAAGCCAGCATTTACAGCCAGGAAACAGCTCTCTCCCTGGGACCCGGAAAAATGACTGAGGCTCTGCCCTCTCCCCCACCCCCCACCCCCAAGGAGTGCCTTCTAAGACTCTGGCTTCAGCAGCTGGTGAAGATGGTTATTTTCCGGGCAATCAATTAAAAACTTATGTTTGATTACTTTGAAGAAAAAAGGAAGATAAGAATGTTGTCGCAGGACAAATTCTTAAGTCTTTTCCTAAGGTTTTAGTTGTCTCTTCATCACTGTTTATCAAAGCATTTTCAAGATAGATGCTTCCACACTCTGACTTTTAGTCAGATCGGTAATGCCTTAGTTTTTCTCCCTAAATAAGAGAAACTATGTTTATTCCCCTCCTCCCACTCCCATATAGCTGCTTTTTATTCCAGCTATGCACAGGAAGTTTCTAGAGTCTCATTAAACTAGACCACTAAAGGCTGTTCCACAAATGAGCCCATGCCTGTCTCTCCCCTGAAATCCAGCTGTGCTTAGAGGAACCAGGAACCTTGAAGTGCATTGCTTTTGACTTTCTGCTTCTTAGAAACTGTGTGTGGGCCACCCACTCTGTCCAGTGGGTGGACATACAATCTTTACTCCTGAAATCACTTTGCCAGTCCCTGAGTGCGAGAGTATGTGTTCCTGAGGCGTCTGTCCTGCTCTCACTGCACAAGTTCTCACTGGGTGATGCCATCTGCTGTACCGACCTCCATTATCTCTGGTTGGTTGTCTTTATGTGGGTGATTCTCCAAGTCTTGGTTATGTTCCCAGTCTAAGTTCTACATGTTCCCAACTGAACTCAGTATCTTTCATTCATTCTTAAACGTATTTCTAGAAGCCCTTTTGGTATAGGGTTTTCAAGCCGACCCCACCTATAACTCTGGAGTCATGTTAAGAAACACAAAAGAGACAAAGTAAGGAATGATAGCCAGGATGACTGCCAAGAGATTCAGACTTCATGTGTGATAGGTGAAAGAGGAGATAGGAAAGCAATCTGGGGAAATTTGCCATTTGAGGTTCTAGTTGTTTACTGGCCTTGGCCTCTGAAAATGATTACTGGAGTAGACAAAGAAGAGAGAGCAGAGGTTTGTGTGTGTGTATGTGTGTATGTGAGTATGTGACCTGACCAGTTGACATTAACGAAGATTCTGTCCTTTCAAAAGTGAGCATATACCTAGTCTGGCTCCTTTGAGCCCTCCTCTTTTTTTTTTTTAATATTTGTTTTTTCCTTTTTTACTATTTATTTGGCTGCATTGCATCTCAGTTGCAACACATAAGATCTTCCTTGTGGCAAGCAGGATTTCTCACTGTGGCACACATGGGTTCTTCATTGCAACTCGTGGGCTTCTCTCTAGTTGCAGTGCGCAGGCTCAGTTGCCCCATGGCATGTGGAATCTTAGTTCCTTGATCAGGGATCGAACCCATGACCCCTGCATTGGAAGGCAGATTCTTAACCACTGGACCACCAAAGAAGTCTCTGAGCCCTCTTCTTGACCAGCCTCAACTTGGCCAATAAAAACTAGAGACTCTCAGTAGGTATGATTTTATCCACCTAATCCTACCCACCATTAAAAGGCTTGAACAAATACAAACATAGTTTCTAAGTCAAGGCATCATAGGATAATTCCACACCCCTTATATGCTCCTGTCTGGGAAAGCACAAGCTGACAAAAGAATCTACTCTTTGTCCCAGCTGACCTGAAGATAGAGTGCCTGTCACTCAGTCTCTGAGGGAAGATGGAAGTCAAACTTCCATGAGTACCAGTTAGCAAAATCAGATGGTTTCACATGGATCAACTCCCCTCACTGCTTTTAATAAATTTCCATTTCCCTGACTCCGGCTCAAGTCCTGGACATCCCTCCTCCCTCTTCCCTCACTCCCTTTAAAACATCCAGTTACTTCACACAAATCGAAGTTGAGTTCAGTTCATGTTGAACCCTCTTCTCTATTGAAGTAATTTGTCATGGAATAAAATCTGTCCTTGCCACTTTAATTCATATCTAGTGGTAGCATTTTCAGGAATATATACTCTGATGGCCTGGTGGATCTGATTTCTGAGTTTGACATGGCACTTAGTAGGGTAGCTGTCTCTAGGAAGAGGTCAGAAGACACGAGTTGGACAAAAACTGACCAAGTGATGGCTGGAGGGAAGTCTGGCTCAGATGAAGGCACTGGGGTGATGTATTTTAAAGAAAGTCAGTTCTCAACAGGGAGAACATTTGTATTATCAGAACTTTTTTCAACATATTTTTCATGGTAAGGATTTTTAAATAAAGGAGTTGTGTGGTCCCATAAACTTACTCCCTTCTCTCTTTTCTGTTCAAAAATAAACTGGTTTATAAGCCTTTAAAATTTGTTTCTGCCCCTCACCCCCCCAAAAAAAATAACCTTTATGAAAATTAGTCTCATGCATTTCTATGCACAAAAAAGTGTTAATATAAGAAGGTTTATTATATTATTTCATTTAGGACTCTGACTTCATTCATACAATCAGAATTTGTTTATTCTTTAGTCATGTTCTGGCCTTTAATGTTTGTTTCTTTGACAGTTGTATATGCAGTTTTATAATTTAACTGTATGCCTTAAAGGTCCAGAAAGTAAACTTAGATTACAACAAGTCAGATAAAACAGACGATAAGCTAAATAAAATGTACTTAGTTTCATTCACTTAGTAGCATCAATGCATAACACATTCCAAAAGCGGGCAGATATCAAATTTAAAATGGATAATCTTAATTGGGTTCAATGATTGGATAAATGGTCAAACAATTTTCATTGCATATGCTTTGGGCCATGCATTTCATTCCTTATTGATTTACTTTATGGAATTAATATATCAATTATTTGTTTTGGTAGGAATAGGGAGGATAATCAGAGGAAGGGGCAGTGGTGGTGAACACACCTCTTGCTGCTGCACAAAAACACATATGGCAGGTGATGACACAATAGCTAACTCCTGTAGAGACCTAAATGGCTTATCTTGGCACGTGTGGATAAGTATGTTTATTAATCTAAAAAATGAGAAAACATTATAAAAATATAAGAAGTAGAAAACCCTAGACAAGTTAAAATACAGAAAAATTTTAAGCAAAGTTATTTGAATCAGGCAATATTTAATGTATCAAATAGTAATCTTAATAACTAGGTATAAAGTAATCTAAACCCAGGACACTAACCATGTCAAAAGGCAGCAGGCAGCCTGACCACCCCAGAATCCTTTGCCAGGGTTAGTGTTTTGTTGATTACACACTTAGGCACCCCCTGGTTACAAGAGTACTTGTTTATTATTGATATTATAAAAATAATCATTCTCTAAATGATTACACGTAGTAAATAAAATTAGAACTATACATAAGGATTTGATTAATTGCCATTTCTTTAAGGACCACTTGTAACTTCTTCTGCCTGCTTCACAGACCTGTAGGAGAGAAAGAAAACAAAAGAAGATGCACTTAATGATATGTCTATAGCACAACATGTGAAAAAGAAAGATTGGGATTTTCATGCTTTCCTCTACTCCATCTGAACTTTTACAGTGGCACTGACCTTAGAGTATTACCTCTAGTAACCATATTTAACTGTCATTATGTCCATTTCTGGTACCTGTATACAACATCTTTGTATATAAAATATGCAAAAATAACTTGGACTGGTAAAATAGATGGACTTCCTTCCTAATAGTGCCAGTGAGAAATACCTGCAAGTTATGTACACAATTACTCTCCTTGAAGGAATTCTGAGACTGAATGTAGAAAACGAGAGCAGCATAAAGCGAGTCAGCCTGTTCCACTTTGGCACTGAAACTATCTGTCCACACTTCTTGATTGAATGAACTGCCTTTCTCCTCAGAAAAATATGACTAGAATGTCAAGGGAATATGTCCACGCTTCAGGAATATTTTATATGTTTTTTAAATGCTTTTTACCCAAGTTATATTTAATATTCACTGACTAGATCATAAACACATTGAAAGAAGAATATTAATCTCTGAATGACTCCTAGGACTTGAAAGAATCCTTTGTGTGTGGTGTTTGATTAGTAAGTAGTTGTTTGATGGAAGAGAAAGGAGGAAGAGAGGTAAGGAAGAAGGGAGTTGGGTTATCTGTGTGCATACTTCTCCTTTATCTAGAATATTCCACTTATCCCAACTAACCTTGCCAACTCCTTTATCTTACTCTCTCCTTTAGGGCTTTTTTTTTCCTTTTTGATGAGGACCATTTTTAAAGACCTTATTTAATTTGCTACAATATTGTTTCTGTTTCTAGATTTTGATTTTCTGGCCACGAGGCATGCGGGATCTTAGCTCCCGGATCAGGGATTGAACCAGCAACCCCTGAATTGGAAGGCACTGGACCATCAGGGAAGTCCCACCCTTCAGGTCTTAAAGACCATTTTCTCAGGGCTCCTGACCACTAGTCAAGCTAGCTTTCTCCAGCTGCATGCACTTACCTAATTCTAATGCTTACATAACAGTAATCATCAGAATTGCATTTTGTGAATAATAATATAATGTGTGACTTTATCATCAAGTAAGCTGTGACATTGGGGATTCTCTGGTGGCTCAGATGATAAAGAATCTGCCTGCAATGCAGGAGACACAGTTTCGATCCCTGGCTGGGAAGATCCCTTGGAGAAGGCAATGGCTACCTATTCCAGTATTCTTGACTGGAGAATTCCATGGACAGAGGAACCTGATAGGCTACAGTTCATGGGGTCACAAACAGTCAGACATGACTGAGAGAATAACACACACACACAAGCTGTGACATCACCTGTGATAGTGATGTGTCCTTCTTTGTCATAGTTCCTGATTCATCATAGGCCTTTACTTAATATAAATCAGATGAATGAGTTTACACATTTAAATCTCTTGGACTGAAGGGCAGTGTGCCTGTATGTCATGCAAAGAACATTTTAAGGCCCAAGAAAGAAAATCACATGATCTTCACATCCCTGCAATGGTAGAGTTATTACATAGAAGGGAGATACACTTTTTGATTGTGAAATGAAAAGACTGAACCAGAAAGAAGGCAGCTACAAGGATTGAGATTTTGGGACAAAATAGGAGAGTGGTTTCTTTTAAAGTAGGTTTTAAATATTTTTAACAACATAAGAAATTCATGTTTGTTGTGTGTGGTCACCATGCTGTACATGATGTCCCCAAGATTTAGTTTATAATTGGAAGTCTGTACTTTTCAACCACCTTCATCCGTTTTACCCACTCTCTGCCTCTGGCAACCACCAATTTGTTCTCTGTATCTATGAGCTTGGTGTTTCATTTTGTTTAGATTCCATGTATAGATGAGGTGATGTGGTTTTTGTTTTTCTGTGTCTGAATAATTTAACTTAACATAATGGCTTCAAGTTCTGTCCATGTTGTTGCAAATGGCAAGATTTCATTATTTTTTATGGCCAAATAATATTCCATTATGTGTGTGTGTGTGTGTGTGTGTGTGTGTGTGTGTGTGTGTGTGTGTAGATATAGATATAGCTATATATACACTTCTCTGTAGCTCAGATGGTAAAGAAATCTGCCTACAATGCAGGAGACCTGGGCTTGATTCCTGGGTTGGGAAGATTCTCTGAAGAAGGAAATGGAAACCCTCTCCAATACTCTCCAATACTCTGGAGAATCCCATGGACAGAGGAACCTAGCAGGTTACAGTCCATGGGGTCACAAAGAGCCAGACATGACTGAGCAACTAACACTACACACACACACACACACACATACACACACACACACATTTTATTAATCTATTCATCTGTTAATAGATACTTAGGTTTTTCTCTATATCTTGGTTATTGTAAATAATGTTGCAATGAACACAGGGGTGCAGATAGCTTTTCAAGACCTTTTTAAACTATACAAATAATATTTTTTAGATATAAATACAGCTGACCCTTGAAAAAGATAGGTGTGAACTGTGCAGGTCTACTTATATGCATATTTTTTCTGATAAATATGTACTACAGTATTACACAATCCAAGATACTGAATCCACAGATGTGAAATCACAGATGTGGAGGACTGACTGTCAAGTTATATGTGGACTTTCAACTATGTGAATAATCAGTGCACTAATACTCACACTGCTCAAGGACCAACTGCATATGATTGTGAGTCTATGCATTATACATAACAAAAAAATGAATAATATCTAGAATACTGTCCTATGACTCAATTTTTATAAAACAATATTGTAAAAATGTTTACACATCAGAATATATATAGATATGACTAGATAGAACCAGTTCATATCAGTAAAATCTAGGTATGTATTGAGTTAACACATCTCATTCTTCATAACAGATGCACAGTATCCCATTATACAGATTGCTGTAATTTTTAAAAATCAATCTTCCTTTCCTGGTCATTAGACTGTTTCCATTTTTTATGTTTTCCATGTTTTATCATAAAACAGTTTCCAAGTTTTATCATAAAGCATGTGTAATGAGCATAATATTTAGCCAACTACACAATGGCACAATGCAGAGGTTATTTCTTCAGGGGATTTTTTTAATACACGAGGACTGGGTCACTGAGCAACTACAGCAGAGCTTAGGAGTTGGTATATACCATTACATAGAAGCTGGCTAGCCATTTGGTAGGGGTATTTCAAAGAAGGGGTGAGCGTGGAACAGGAAGAGAAGTAGATCTTTCTCAGGTTCTTTCTCATTTTGATATTTTATGATTCTATTAGTGCTAAGGACATACCCAATGCCTTACTCCTCCTGGTAACATCCTTGAGAGAAGATACTGAGATTTTTCATCTATATACATCCAGTTCATAGAGTAACCTCATGTCCCAGGATATGAAATTGTTTTGAGATGCTCCGTCTCTAAGATATCTTTCGTAGTATCTTAGGGTTAGGGTTAGCACAAAGAGGGTAGATATTTGCATCTCACGTATATCTAAAAGTGATCTTCCTGCCATGGACAAGAGATTTAAAATTCTCACCCGACTTCCTCCACACAGGAGAACACAGACTCAATGAGGAGCCTGAGATCCACAGAATGTCACAAAAAGAAAGAGAAAACATCATGGAGGAGGAAAATCTTTTTCTCAGTATAGGTCATGAAGAGTATGTATTTTTTAAAAACCTAGATTTGAGCCATTTTAAGTGGTGCCCATCATTACCAGACATGGACATTAAGTGCCCTGAGCAAACATACCGGAGTAGACCAGTGCAGGACAAGAAGAGCACGGAACGCAAAGCAGAAGATCAGCAGAACCTGCACAATGAAAGAAAAAGAGGTAATGTACTGGACCAGGAAAAAAACAAAGTCAATGAAACACAATTCCCTTGCGGTTTGATCAATTTCTTATGAGGATTAACTGAAATCAATATCAAAACTACACTCAGAGTATATAGTGATGGCAATCATACATAATTTAACTATTTACATGTGTTGGTTCTCATTTCATAAGCCATTTTCAATTGAAACTTTTTCTGATTTTAAATAAAAACTAGGGCAAAAGGCCCCTCAAGATAAGTGCTATTAACATATACGTGGATTGCAAGAAGATCCCGTCTAATCATAGTCATGATTCTTACATCCAGCATGGGTTTGGCAGCAAAGGCATGCTTTACAGACTACTACTACCCTAACACAGTATGTTCAGGTCTGGATATATAAATGTCACATATTATGATGCTACAGAATTTGTACTTTAACATAATCATCACAAAATTATTATAAGATTTACATAAAACAGTATGTATTTACATGTATATACTATATTTGTAATGCCTGGCACATAACATTTGTTGTTGTTGCCGTCCAGTCACTAAGTCGTCTCTTTGCGACACCATGGACTGCAGCATGCCAGGCTTCTCTCTCCTTTACTGTCTTCCTGAGTTTGCTCAAATTCATGTCCATTGAGATAGTGATGCTATCTAATCATCTCATCCTCAGCTGCCTCCTTCTCCTTTTGCCTTTAATCTTTCCTTGCATCAAGATCTTTTCCAATTAATTAGTTGGCTCTTTGCATCAGGTGGTCAAAATACTGGAACTTCAGTTATAGCATCAGTCCTCCCAAAGAATATTCGGGGTTGATTTCCTTTAGGACTGACTGATTTGATCTTGCAATCCAAGGGACTCTCAAGAGTCTTCTCAAGCACCACAACTCGAAAGCAGCAATTCTTTGGTGCTCAGTTGTCTTGAGATATCGGTTTGATCTCTGGGCCAGGAAAATCCCCTGGAGAAGGGCATGGCAACCCACTCCAGTATTCTTGCCTGGAGAATCCCATGGACAGAGAAGCCTGGCAGGCTACAGTCCATGGGGTTGCAAAGAGTCAGACACAACTGAAGCAGCTTAGCATGGACGCACAGCTGTCTTTATGGTCTAACTCTCACATCCGTACACGACTACTGGAAAAATCATACTATACGGACTATTTGGACTATACGGACCTTTGTCCACAAAGTGATATAATGTTACATACATAACATATGCTAAACGTGATTGCTCTGAATGCATCCTTGAGGCAGAAGAGCAGAACCTAGTAGGACAAGGGGACATGAGTATTCTACTTAAAAAGAGCAGGGAAATAAAAACAGGAGATCAAAGAAAATGAAATAAAGGCAGCAAGGGAGATAAGCCTTCACATTTCTTGAAGAGAAAGGAAATAGATTAAACCCAAGTTTTCCAAAGCAGATTTTGGAATGCTAGTCCTGCAAGGTGTTAATATAGATAATCCACAAATGGTTCCTTGATCAAAGACTTTTCAGCAATAACATACCATCTGCTTTTTGGAGGCTCAAAATACACACCAGCATATTAAAGGCTCTTCGAAGTCCTATAATAAAAGGAACTATTTTATCAAAGTTACCTGATAATAGATTTTCATATAACTCACTTTTTAAAATTTACAGAGATATGTTGTAAATACCACTTCAGCTAGAATAGAGGCATGTCAGTGCAAAACAGAAAACTCAGTAACCAAAGAGAAAGCATAAGTTTTGTACTCAGATTTGAGTTCAAATTCTGATTTTACCCCTTCTCATACATCTGACTTGAGTCAGTTAGCATCGCTCAGAGTCCAGCACAGGGGAGCGTTATAAACCTCTGGAAGTATCATTAAGCATTGGGCATTTTACAGTTTTAGAAAATTCAAATTTAGATGAAGAAAAACTACAAACATTTGGATTGAAAGTCTCGACCTTTATATGTAGATGCTGAATAAAGCTGGATAACTTGATAGATGTTTTGAAACCTTACACATAGAGAGGCTTTGAATTAGAATAATGATGCATTCACAGCTGAATATTCTTCACCACTCAAAAATATTAGAGATCCCGGCAGGAGAGCAGTTGAATTAATGCTCTGTGTTAGTCATTCTCTTAAATACTGGGTATCAGAATTATCTGGAAAGCTTTTAAAACACAGATTGCTGGAGTCCACTATTAGTTTCTGACTTAGCAGACATTGGGTGAGGCCCAAGGAAATTGCATTTCTTACAATTCCCATGAAAGGCTGATGCAGCTGGTGTGTGGACCACACACTGGATATCACTGTTCTATGTAGCATGGACTTTAGGTTGAAGTCAACTGTGGTCTGGCATACTTGAAGAAGGAGTAAATGATGTGTCTGGGTACTAAAGTCAGATGGAAGTGTGGGTTTAACAGAAACTAGAGAATCTGAAAGATAAAAGGTTTGGGACAGACTGTAGACTACAGTAATCTAAAATCTTACAGTAGGATGCTATTTTGCATTTGATAAGAAAAAAAAAATTACACTGCCTTAGAAGAGCATTGGACTAGAGAGGGCCAAGGAATTTTAAGGGTAAGACTTTGGATACCGAACTCAAATGAAATTAAAATTTTCTAGAGATAAGAGTGTGGTAGAAAGGAAACCAATGAACCAAATGTCAACCCGTCATGAAAGAATAAAAGTGACTGATGAGATGATAGTGCCAAGGAAAGACACAGGACAGCAGGATAAACGGCATGAGCCTAGAAAACATTCAGGTGGAATATTAATGCTATGTCATGGTGCTTAGTACATGGCAAGTGAAAGGAGTAGCTTTTCCTGGTGAAGGCTAAAAGGGAAGCAGTGTCTTCTAGGAACCATTTTGAATAAGACAATAAAGGCATGGAGAGTGTTCTTTGAATAGCACCAAAATGATCAGTTTGCAAATGAAATTCCTGTTCCATAGGCCACAGTGGAAAGATCCGGGAAATATGTCAACAGTGGTTAAGAATACAAACACATGAGAAGATTTTATTTTGATAGGGGCCATGGGGGCAAGGCAGAGTGGCCAAGGACAACAGGACTAAAAGGCAGAAGTAACCGATCTCAAGTTTCTGAACTGAACTTTGGCATAACATCCTTGTATGGCAACTGACTTAAGTGTCTAGCCGTATACTGCTGGGTCTGTGCATCGGGACCGCCTGAACGGGGAGGAACATTCCCCAAACTCGTGGGGATGTAAGAAATGAAGCAGCTTTGGTGAGGGGAAGAACAAGCCATGAGTAGCTGTGAAGTCTAGATAAAGAGTATCTTAATAAAGATAGTACGTTTGTTTACAGATTAGAACCTGTAATTCTTTCTTCTTGAGTGGTTTATTCAGTGAAAAACAGCCACACAATCAGCTGAGGCAATGCATCACAAATGCACATGTAGAGATGGCTGGATACGCTGCATGAATGTGCCATGTTCATCGCAAGTTCTAATGGAACCGTCATTACTACAAACGAACAACACGTGGAACATAGGAAACGTCACTGAATGTATCGTGTTTTGCTATGTATACTAATAAACCACTCATGATACACATCTGTCTATGTTTCTAGACATTATGACTACTGAATAAGCAGAAGGGGAGACTGAGGCTTGGCCTCTGCTCAAGTGATCTTCAAGTCACTTAACCAATTTGAACTAAATTCATTCAGCCATCCATTCATTCATTCATTCAGTTCATTCAGTAAACATTTACTAAGTAAATACTGAATGCATATTTATTAAATAAATATGTGTTGAGCCCTTACAGCGTAAAATAAGAATGGTAAGACCCAAATTTCCCTAATAGGTTTACTTTTGGAATTAAGTATGTGGATGCAACTTATAAATTATAAAGCCTTATATAACAAGGGGCTTCCCAGGTGGCGCTAGTGGTAAGGAACCCGCCTGCCCATGTAGGAGACATAAAAGACTGAGTTTGATCCCTGGGTCTGGAAGATCCCCTGGAGGAGGGCATGGCAGTCCACTCCAGTTTTCTTGCCTGGAGAGTCCCATGGACAGAGGAGCCTGGTGGGCCCATGGGATCGCAAAGTCAGACACAACTGAAACAAATCAGAAAATTATTTTAAAAGTTAACAAATGGATAAACCTTTATGTCCTAACATGAAGGGGAAAGTCATGTCATTTATCCTTATGAATATAGAGAAAAGTTGTTTTTGGTCTGAAGAATGTTTAAATATACTAAAGTGGATATACAGTTTTGGGATACTTAGTCAACATTTCAAAACAAGCCATTTTGAAGAAATTTGGCAGCATGCTTTGAACAGTTGTTCTATTTTTAATAGCATACTATGGGACTGAAAACGTGCTTAATGTAATTACTAAATGTTATTTATTTTATACTGTCAAAATTTTAATTTTTATGTTTATCATATATGCCTCCCTTAATTTTCTGGATGACTTTGCCTGTAGATAATAATTTGGAGCACAGTGTAACTATAACTAAATCAAGTTGAAGTTTATATTAAAAGCAGATTTCCTACTCAAATATATTACTGCTTGTTTCTTTATATGTCACTTCCCCTTATTTTCATGTTTTATAGTGTTTTCTTTATGATACAAACTCTTCCTTTCTTTATGATACAAACTCTTTCACTGCTCAGCTAAATAATTCCTTTCTTGATATTATCTATACACACATTCCTTCTCCTTCCCCGCTTTTTTAAGCTTTTAGAAATGAAATGACATTTCAGAGTAGAACATATGGCTTTGGATTAAGCTAGAATGTAAATTGTACTTACTAATTGTACATCCTTGGAAAACGGTTTTTAACAAATCGGAGTTTGTAAAATCAGTAATATCATTTACACAACAAGTTGTCACAAGAATTAAAGGAGATACTACACAGCACATAACAACAAAAATGTAATAAATGTCAGTCCTTTTCCATTTTCTCCTTTTGTAGAGAAACATGCATTTCTATATGAGCTTTAAAATGTCAGTGACTCATAACAGACTTGAAGGAGAAACTGAATACTATAATTCTAAA